GTCTATATACATTAACATTCTCTGTATGAAGGCACAGATCGACAACAAACCATAATTTTATCAATATGTCATTGGGCACTAATCCGTATTTACTTCAGGGAGCCGTGACAGATCAACGCACCGAAGAACCCTATTCTGAAGAGCGACAGCCGTAAAGGACAGAACAGATTATCCATATGACCTGGCCGTTGATATCTTCACTAGATGACCCGATTATGTACATGCTCCAAACAGACTGTGACGAACTCTAAGTAAAGATCAGAGACGTGGGAATATTATAAACTAAAGGACACAATCACAACTGTTGCTGGTAGGTTGTAGGGCAGTAGGTGCAGTGTTTCCCTGAGAGTGCGGTGACAATATGGTGGTCTGATAACCACCTTCGCCACAGGGATGAAGAGCAACATTCATTTTGTTCTCAGCAAAGCAGAAAATTGATCTGAATATGATGATGATGATGAAGATGATGATGACGATGAATTTGCAATCGGGTGAATCAGTTGGTTTACGGAGCCTTTTGCCGTAGCACAGCAACGTCACCGTATGGAACACAATTGTAGGCATTGGGGAATCGAACCAGAGTCTTGCTGTTTTGGTCGTGATCTTTAATATGTTACTGTATATTTAAGAGATAAATCTATGGTGTTTTCAACGTAGAGGTTTCTAACGTAGATAGATACCTGTAAACGTCATACGAAACCTAACGCGATAGCGTGAGGCTTCGAATTCGAAAAATATTACAGGTATCGAATCGATGTTCGAAACTTCTAATTTGTAATAAAAGTTGGGTTGTCGCTTTCTTACCATGGCACAATGACAAAACAAACCCGAACTCTTTGGCTATAGCGGAGATGATTAGTGGCGTGGCATCGGTTGATCCTAATATTTTCAGAAGGTTGAAAGGGGGAATTCAGACTTCAGTGATTATCGGTTGTAATCTGTATGTGTATGTGTACCCGAACCATAGTTTTATCAATTTAATGATAATGATAAAAAAAAACACGTAGGCAGTACGATTGTAAGCATTTTGATGTTGTTGAATTTTACCACACACTATCTTAGTATTTGTTCAATTTTTCCCCCTGAAATATATTGCAACACTTGCAGTGTCGGAACCACAACACATAAGATCGGTATTTGGAAATTGTCAAAAGGAGTGGGATTGGGAAAGAAGTGATTCTTATATAATGTTATCTCGTGGTTTTGCTGTCGCCAGGCGGATCAATCATAATGCAGTATTCTAAAATGCCATGATAGAATTGTAATTTACCGTATACGTTTTTCACTAAAATACTCGCGGCGCCAAACGAAACGTAATGCTATGTCTTCAGTGAAATTACAAAATGACATTCCATATATAAAACATAATCTCCTTATCAATATTCAATGCTGCTGAAATATAAACTGCCTTCAGAATAAAATATTCACATTTTCAAGTCGCTGAAAATCTGGTCATTATGTCACAAGACACATGATCAAACGACGTAATGTTAATACCGAAGAGATCTTTTCATTCCCGCGAATTGGAATGCTTTCAATGTGATATAATCCTCTGTCAGGTATTTAGATATGTAACGTAAATATAAACAAGACTGCCCATTCGTCAGTAATATCAATTGATTCCAACTGCGTAATTCGTTCCTTTCTTGAACGCGAATACCATCTTCTGATCAAAAGTAATCAAGGCAATAGACAGTGTGAATTATTTTTTCATCTTGAATTTTCTGTATAGCTAACCCTGGCCGTGGACGACCTTCAATGTCAAGAGTTTGTTCTCCTGCAATGTTTTCAGTGTGAGTCAGCGCGCTCCACAGGGAAAACATAACACCATGAGCCATGATCCCTGACACGACAAGGCGTCACGGTCAAATAACGAATCGGTCCAGGGTGGTTTGGTATAAATCATAGCATGTGTTTTCTGAAGAAGTTCACGTAAAATTGTGTCGTCTCAGAATCAACTACAACCTTGACTGAATGGTTGTATTGTCACAGAGAGACACATTCCCCCACTGACACATGACCATCAAGACACCGGATAAATAATTTCTGTTCTCTTCCTTCCAATGACCTTTGCGATATTATGAAATTCTAGTATTCACTGAAGCAATTACCATTAGTTTTTGAAACTTATATCTTGATGTTGAATTATTCACAACATATTCTGCTCCTATTCTGCTGATTATCATTGTACACATAATGTCAGGGACATTGCAATTGCAATGTATTCCTGAGACTACATTACGATCAGCTAACCATACTTATGAACAACCATCCATAATCATCCAACATATGAGATGCTGTAATGAGTACGCATGCAGATTCGCAACAATAATTATCTCCAAGCACAATACCCGTGCTCTTTGGTTTAACCAAATTGGTAAACGAACCTGCGCTATACTGTAATTTCCTCCCACAAGAAAGCATCACTTCTTAATGTAAAAGAAATACTGGCCACAGTGACGTAAACCCCACCTGCAGTTATACCTATTGACAGCTGTGTCTGTCTGCTCTTGATAAAAATCTATGATGGTAGCCATTCGAATGCGGAACACTATGACATTATCCGTAAAACAACTCTCGTAAATAAAATGCAATAAATATTCCCCTGTGAAATATTCATTACCACGGCAATCACCTCTGAGGCGTGATGTTTTTATCGACTTGTTTAGCTGGAAGGTCTCTACATTGTCACCCTGTTGCGCTGCGAGAAAGGTCACAGATCAATGGCGTTATCAGATCCGTCGATAGATTTAGCCTCCAGCTACAAGTTTTGGTAAGTGAGTTGTTGGAATCAACGATCTTCTACTTTCCGGATGGAAGGAGATATATGCCTACTCTAAGCCAAGGTCATGTGACTAGGGCTCCGCGAGTGGGTATTATATTGTCAGCCTTTGATGAGCTCGGGGTGGTATGGCAAATTTCATTACATTCGATGTACGGTATGTGTGGTTCACTGAAGGTGTTTACTCAGATTTCTATGCCTATTTGCGGCAATATTTATTTTGCTATGAGGTCGTGAAACAAGTCTGGGTCACTTAACTAGTTTGTATGCGTTTCCGATCGTCTTCTGAAACTGTTTGTGGTTCAACAACACTTGCTATGTTCATGATGTTAAATGTCACGAATTGATTTCTGCGGTTGAACAAGGTGACGTGCAGACATAATTGAACGAATGATAACATCCTGGCAAATTCCTGATACATGACCTCAAAAGCTATTTAAGGTTCAATAGAGCTAATAACGAAAACTGAAATTAAAATAACACTGAGTTTCCCAATTCCATTTAAGCATTTTATATCAAATTAAAATTCTTTCAAAGTTACTATATATTCAATTCAATCAAAAACACTTTATCCAAAAATGTTTCATTATTCAAAGAAATAGTGTATGTTCATTGAATGTCTAGTAGGCCTTTCTGAAAAGCTTATACGGACCAGTTCCTTTTCATTGCAATAAAGCTCCTCAAACGTGAACACTTAATCTATCTGCTCTTTTAGCAACCACACGTAGCCAAGTATTGGTTGCAGAGAGGATTGCGCCCTAACGTCACACGTGGTGCCACGGGAAGCGTGCTCCTTTGTCAGTCATGCTTCTAAAATGGCGGCCATTGGCTCTGTCAAGGAGATTAGTTGTGATGGAAGTAATATCGTTAAGTGCCTCCTTCGGAAGAACTTAAATGTAGGAATTAGAGAGAACTCGCTGGCTGGAGTATGAACGTGGCTGTCAATTATTGAATTAAACTTCTCCATGCAGTTCCGATCATGGGACTAGTTCCAGGGTTTTGCGTATACGATCTGATGAATGTGATATAGTTTAAGTGGATCTCAGAGGAAATAGTCACTTTCATCATTAAAAGCCGACTTGAGAACATAGGCAAGGGTCGGTTTACAGTTGTGCTACAGTAAACGCGTTACGCATGCGGAGAGAGAAACCCCAATGGAAATATGTTAATGTGCATTTGCTGCTTAAATCCTGTCCGGAAAACCAGAGCTTCATACATCCTGTTCCTTTTCACAACCCGCAATCCAGGACGTAACGGAATCGGGGTGGATTGGTATTCACCGTAAACAAACCCCTCTCTAACGTCATGCTACATGATTACATTATTTAAGCAAATCTGGCTTTGGACAAACCATATCCGGAAATTACAGTCTCAGGCTGATTAGGTTTCAGAACCAGGTGTGATGAGATGTGTGTGATTCAGCCAGAAGGTGTTGTTCTCATGTAGGGTTTCCTTGATTCGCGCCTTTCGTAACTGTTGGCATGGAAATCGAACTGTGTTATAAAATCTACACTTCTTGGTAAAATGTAAAGTGAAAGTAGGTGTTGAAATATCGCCCGCGTGAAAAGCAATTTACGAAGCCACGATTCCTATTTAATTACATGACTCGTGACATTACCCGATGGTGTGTGCCGCATGCGTGCCATTACTACAATTTAACATGGATTGTATGCATATCCTCTGACAGTTGAGTGTCTGTACATCATAGCCTAAATACACAGTGATGTGACACAGTGTGTTTGTAGAATCGCAGACCACCTAATCAGGTATATAGAAAGGCTTATAATATTTCCACAATGCAAGCTACTCAGACCTGTTCAACAATCCACAATCACTGACACCACTTTACCTCTCACAATAAACATCACCATGAGGACGCACAGATCGGTTCCATCAATAGGCAAATGTATGGAATCGATTCCGGGTCTCCCGACAACGAACAATTTAACAAGGTAACCCATAGACCCACTGAAGAAGAAGCCTACGTGGTGCCACGACTACTCGAGAAGCTCTTCTCCATCTAAGCATAACCTCCTCCCATTACAAGAATGTGGGCTGTCTATCAAAGTTAATCTTGTTCCATCCCACAAAATCCTAAATAAAACAGAGTTGCCCATCCCCGCACAATACACTGCCCAAATCCTAACGTCTAGACGAAGGCGGACGTTTTGAAGATAAATGCTTTTAATATTTGGTTTAAATGAATCAATATTCTTACCTTGAGATGGCGTGGAGAGATCTCCTTGCTAAGTGGCACCTCCTTCTCGCTCACGTCCACCCCAGCTAGCGGGTATATCACCTCCCCGATAATGTCATCCCGGGAGAAGCGGTCGAAACTAAGAACTACAAAGTGGAGGGTAATCCCAGGTATTTGGTTAAGGTTGATTCCATAGAAGGTGAAGGTCTCGTCATACACAGGGTTCAAGGTCTTCCTCAGAACCCTGGTCTTGCACTTGTGCTTCTTTTCCGGAAGTAGCTGCAGCTTTACATAGGGGTCACATCCGCCCAAACTCGGGTCACGTGGTGGCAGTTCAACCGCCTTGATCATTGTGACCAACAGTGCAGTCTTCTGCGCATCGTAGGTGACAGCGAAGTGAAGAGAACCTAGTTTGGTCGTCTTTTCTTCCAAATGATGCTCGCGCATGACGTCTTCTTTTTCGGGTGTAGCTCCATCCTTTTCGTTCTCCACGTACACTTCCGTTTTGATTGAACTTGGGTCACCACCAGTTGGCGAGAAGCCAGGAGGGGTTGTTCCTCTTTGAAAAGGATCTCTTTCTGGATCTGGAGGAGTTATTGGACTGGTGGCTTTAGACTTCATGATAACCTTGCCTCTGACCGGCGCACTCTTCTTCATGCTTCCCGAATTGCTTTCCTGGAGCCCCTTCTTGATAGCTGAAGAAAGCCTGTTCTGGGCATTGCGCATGACGCGGCGTCTGTAGCATTTGTAGGCCACCACCGACACTGTTATGACGAAGCCTACAGCTCCGATCACAAAACCGGTAATAGCGCCATTAGAAACTGCAACAAAAGAAATAAATATTACTTATTTTCATGTTTTATTAAATTAAATGTTTCAATGTGATTTAATCCACATCCAGTTAATAGTTTACCCAAGATAAATTTTAAAATATGAAAGGCTCATATGAATGACGAAAATCATATTGGCTATCCAACATGTAATTTGTGTCATCAGAAGTCTGTAATACGTGTCAAAGTGATGACCTATTAGAAATATCAGACGTCTTCGTAAACAATATAAATCAAGAGCATGGTGCTTTGTATGTGTATGTATTATGAAAGGCAAAACTGCGGGTTATAATAAGTCTTTCTTTTTACCGACATCTGAGCAGAACCTGGTTTTTGCACAATTATCTGACCATAGCCCTGCCGACTGTAGTGTAGGAGACCATAAGCTGATAACCCACATCAAAGTCGACCAAGAGTATATATCCTGTTTAATTTACCGTTTCCTGTTGTGTCAAGCAGAGCTAATTATATTTGTTACGTTGCCTGGCAACTAATTCTTGAACCTCTTTGAAGCTACGGCCTAGATGGACCGCGTTTTCAGAAACGCTATCAACTTTCTGTGGGGTAATCAGAGTTGTGATGAGATAGAACGCAGTCCTAGGAAGAGCCTTTATAGAACTTAATTTTCACTTGTGGTTGTTCAAATCAATGCCAATCATGACGGTGTTGCGGGATTGGTTTTCAGGCAAGGCACGAATAAACACCATTTCAAAATTGATTGACCTCTTAAGTTAGAGTGAACATGTCTTTTGAGAGCATGTTCTTCCGATGGAAACATCTTTTCAAAGAAACTTTAAAGGCGGGGTAGTGTTTTTTTCTTTGTTGCGCAGTAAATTGTTACTGGAAGAATTCCGCTGTTGATATAGGGCAACGACAGATAAAGTTTTCCCTGTTAATTTTAACAGGACGCAACAAACTTGATTGGAAACAACGTTTTATGTGGAGCGTCAAGATAAGCGTCAAGAGAGAACGTGTGCTGGATTTTCCACGTTCTCGCTTAAAGGGACGCGACTGTGTGAAAATAGTGTTCTTCCCTGCATGTGTATGTGTGAATATATATATTTAGACAGGGTGTTAAAAAGTCCAGGCCAGTATAATGGGGAGTTCATTTGTTGTTTTGTAGTTAACTTAGACAACTTTTCCCCACTTTGTAAATGTTAGAAAAAACCTGTTGTTTGTCGTGTGTACGAGGGGATGCCATATCCTGGTTGGGGACTATCGTTGCATTAGTATGGGTTATTCTGTAAACAACCGTTTAGTTCTGTTCGAGTCGAAGTTTTTACTTAATAAGAGTGAGTGAGTATGGTTTAACGCCGCTTTTGGCAATATTCCAACAATATCGCGGGAGGGGACACCAGAAATTGGCTTCACACATTGTACCCATGTGAGGCATCGAACCCGGGTCTTCGACGTAACGAGCGAACGCTTTGACCACTAGGCTACCCAGCCGAACTATTTACCTTAAACCTCTTGTTTTGCAAAACCTCCATTTCCAGAAAAAAACAAAGTTATCGTTTCCTATCTCGTCATATTATTTCAAACACGTCCGTTTACATAAAAGTACTCATATGCATATCGACAACAAAAAGGGGGGGATAACACTAATTTGTAAGGTCAGGCAATTTATCATGTTCAAAGTTTACTTCTTTGTTACTCCAAACTTTGTATATTTCGAAAACACCTGATGTCATCACAAATTGTCAGTGAAGTTTGCATTCAATACTAATGGAATCTGTTGCGATGGATAATCGAGACTGGTTCTATAGCGGTGACGTTTCTTTTACACACAGCACCCAGATAACGACCTCTCTGTATTCGTGTCCATGTCCAGACCAGTTCCTCGGTTCAGTGTTCCACAGAGAGTACAACGTTCACCAAGCTATTAACTACATGCTTGGCAAACCCATAGAGACAGTAGGGAATTCCTATCACTGACCCACAGACAGGAAGCTAGTTCGGCAGGGCAGCAAAATACTGTTTCCTTGCAAGGATTAATGTATATCGGTATATTCTAAATTATTTGTTTATATCGAACGGCTATTGTGTACATGAAGTGTGTTTGTGTGTGTTTGTGTGTGTGTGTGTGTGTGTGTGTGTGTGTGTGTGTGTGTGTGGTGTGTGTGCCACGATCTGGTAAAACAAGGTTGGAGGCTACAAACACCTTGTTTGCACTGGTGTTCCAGTTTTGGATAAAGGACTTCTCGGGGTGGTTTACCTGTAGTTGTATCTGGCTGACAGAGAATAGGCAAATACACTGCCGAGCAAAAGAAAGTATACACCCAAATGTGTACTAACAAAAACTTATTCGATGTGTTTGGAACGGGTATCAAAAGCGATACTACATGTAGAATATCAATGAGCATCCCACAACAGGTATGTTCAGTGTCGTTTTGATAACGTTTGTCAAATTTTTTGTCAAATCCAATTTTCAAGTGTATACTGTATTTTGGCTGGCAGATAGGCACCATGGCCGAAAATATGTCCATAGCTTTCTCCCGACCAGGGAATGTGTGTGTGCGTGTGCGTGTGCGCGTGCGCGTGCGTGTGTTGGAAGTGGAGGGGGCATCCTTAATGCCACATTGCAACGTGTACGTGTGTTGGGAGGGTGTGTTGGGCTGTCGACGTTAACTCGAAATCGAATCAACTGCAGGGGATAAGATTAATCGGATTGCTGTACCTACACTTCACGTTTGACAGGAACAATTATTTTGATGCCACGTTGAGTGACATTAGTCGTGTTACAGCTGAGAATTTGGGGTACCCCTCTCCGAACTTTATAGTCTTGGTGCAGCCTTAAAGGATACCCTTGTAGTCAATTGGTCGTGTTTCTGTTATGCCAAAATAACATAACACTGCATCGGACGCCAGATCTTCTAAATGCCACATCGCAACACCTATAGTAATTTCGAAACGTAAAATGTGAGTAATATGATTCCTCTGAACAAAACTCCAAGATGCGTGTGTCCACACAACACTAGGGTACCAAGAAACCATATTTGTTGGCATTTAACAATGAACAGATTTTTACATTGTTGCAAGATATTTAGACATCCCCGAATATCATACGGTAGGTGCCCTAGATGACAAGGCCGTCCAAGCTCCATTTATCAAACAGAATAATCTAGTTCCTGTGTGCGGCCATATTCTCGCCGGCTTCTAGTGTTACAATAAAGCTATTTGGGTGCGCGTGCATTTATTATTAACATGAGCAGTGACTCCCGTACAATGATCAAGCAGCACAACTGAGAATTTACGACGCAATTAACTGGCCGTGTCTGTTGGATACCCCGGACAATCGGCATGCGAATGAGGAAACTTTAATTATTCAGATCACTGTTTTAACAATCTAGAGGAGTCTTGAGTGCGCCTGAAACGACAGTTGATGCAGTGGTGTGGTAAATGTAGTCTTAATCATCTGCTGATGTTTCCATTACTGGTGACGCTGAGTTTCATAAATGTAATTTTGTCGATGACATGTGTATTAGAACTGCTGTTTCGCCACCTGTCATCTGACAATCAGTGAGTGAGTTGGGTTTAGCGCCGCTTTTAACAGTATTCAAGTTATATCACGGCGTGTCAGCTTAATGACGTTTTCCACTTCGGTGAAACCATCGAGCACGTGTATGGTGCTGACAAACCTAGAAACATAATCGGGGCGAACCGGGATTCGAACCCACAATCATAAGTTTGTAAAATGATAGGGAGTGATAAGAGGCATGGAATGTATAATGATAGGAAGTGATAAGAGACACGGAATGTATAATGATAGGGGGTGATAAGAGGAATGGAATGTATAATGATAGGGAGTGACAACGGACACGGAATTTATAATGATAGGGAGTGATAAGAGACACGGAATGTATAATGATAGGGAGTGATAAGAGGCATGGAATGTATAATGATAGGGAGTGATAAGGGACACGGAATGTATAATGATAGGGAGTGATAAGAGCCATGGAATGTATAACGATAGGGAGTGATAAGGAACACGGAATGTATAATGCTAGGGGGTGATAAGGGACTCGGAATGTATAATGATAAGGAGTGATAAGGGATACGGAATGTATAATGATAGGCAGTGATAAGGGACACGGAATGTATAATGATAGGGAGTGATAAGGGACACGGAATGTATAATGATAGGGGGTGATAAGGGACACGGAATGTATATAGATAGGGAGTGATAAGGGACACAGAATGTATAATGATAGGGAGTGATAAGGAACACGGAATGTATAATGATAGGGAGTGATAAGGGACACGGAATGTATAATGATAGGGAGTGATAAGGGACACGGAATGTATAATGATAGGGAGTGAAAGGGGCATGTAATGTATAATGATAGGGAGTGATAAGGAACACGGATTGTATAATGATAGGGAGTGATAAGAGACACGGAATGTATAATGGTAGGGAGTGATAAGAGACACGGAATGTATAATGATAGGGAGTGATAAGGGACACGGAATGTATAATGATAGGGAGTGATAAGGGACACGGAATGTATAATGATAGGGAGTGATAAGGGACACGGAATGTATAATAATAGGGAGTGATAAAGGACACGGAATGTATAATGATAGGGAGTGATAAGAGGCATGGAATGTATAATGATAGGGAGTGATAAGGGACACGGAATGTATAATGATAGGGAGTGATAAGAGGCATGGAATGTATAACGATAGGGAGTGATAAGGAACACGGAATGTATAATGATAGGGGGTGATAAGGGACTCGGAATGTATAATGATAAGGAGTGATAAGGGATACGGAATGTATAATGATAGGGAGTGATAAGGGATACGGAATGTATAATGATAGGCAGTGATAAGGGACACGGAATGTATAATGATAGGGAGTGATAAGGGACACGGAATGTATAATAATAGGGAGTGATAAGGGACACGGAATGCATAATGATAGGGAGTGATAAGGGACACGGAATGTATAATGATAGGGAGTGATAAGGGACACGGAATGTATAATGATA